CGAATAATAATTGTCCATGTTCATGGGCTACAGTGAAGTTTTGATACATATATTGTATAGTGATCAGGTCAGAGTACTTAGTATTCCCATCATCTGAAACATTTATTATTTCTTTGTTTTGGAAACTTTCCATAGCCTCCTTTTAGCTATTTGTAACACTGTAAAATACTATTGCTAACCATAGTCATCCTACAGTACTATAGAGCACTAGCACTTATTCCACCTACCTAGCTGCAATTTTGTATCCGTCACCAAATCTCTCCCTATCCCTCCTTTCCTTGTACCCTTCCCAGCTTCTAGTATCCTGTGTTCTTTTTTTATTTCCATAAGATCATTTTTTTTAGCTTCCACATAAGAGTGAGAGCACATGGTGTTTAAATTTCTGTTCCTGGCTTATTTCACTTAACATAATGGCTTCCAGTTCCATCCAGGTTGCTGTGAATAACAATAATTCTTTCTTTTTTTTATAGCTGAATAGTATTCCCTTGTGATATATACCATATTTTAAAAATCAATTTATCTGTTGTTGTACACAAAAGTTGATTCCATATCTTGGCTATTGCAAATAGTGCTGCAATAAATGTAGGGGTGCAGATGTCTCTTTCATACCATGATTTTCTTTCCTTTGGATAAAAAATTACCAGTGGTGGGATTGCTGGATTAGATGGTATTTCTATCTGTAGTTTTCTGAGGACTCTCCATGTGGTTCTGTATTATGGCTGCACTACTTTACGTTGCCACCAATAGTGTGTAAGAGTTCTGTTTTGTCTGCATCCTTACCAGCATTTGCTAGTTTTTGTATTTTTGATAATGTTCATGCTAACTGGAGTGAGATGATACCTCATTGTGGTTTTGATTTGCGTTTCTCTAATGATTAGTAATGTTAAGCCTCTTTTCATATATTTGTTGGCCATCCATTTGTATGTCTTCTTTTGATAAATATCTCCTTAAGGTCACTTTCCCAGTTTAAACTTAGATTTTTTTTTTTTTTTTTTGCCATTGAGATGTTTGAGTTCCTTGTATACCTTGGCTGTTAATCCTCAGTTGAATGAGTAGTTTGCAAATGTTTTCTCCCATTCTGTAGGTTGTATTTTCACTCTGTTGATTGTTTCTTTTGCTGGGCAGAAGCATTTTAGTTTGAAATAAATTCATTTGTTTATTTTTGTTTTTGCTGCTTGTGCCTTTGAGGTCTTATTCCTATCATTTCCTAGACCAATGTCCTGAAGTATTTTCCTATGTTTTCTTCTAGTAGTTTTATTATTTCAGTTCTTACATTTATATAAGTCTTCCATTTTCAGATGATTTTTGTATATGGAGAGAGGTGGGGGTCTAATGTCATTCTGCATTTGAATATCCAGTTTTCCCAGCACAGACTCATTCATAGAGGTCATGAGCCATGTAGGACATTCATCAGTGTGCTTTTGGCTGAGTGCGGATGTCCAGGGGGTCAGCCAAATGGATTGTTTAGAAACAAGTGGCTCATGGTGAACCTGCTGTGATGCTGTATTCACTCCTCAGTTGCCTCTCGGAGAAGTGGGTGCATCAGGAGCTCTGGCGAACTCCCCCCAACCCAACAATGCGGAATGTAGGAGGTGACTTGGGCCCCGCCAGTGATATTCTAGGCGCCATCCTAAGAAGATCAGAGCTGCAGCCCCTAATTGCAGCTCTAAGATCAAAATGGGAGTGAGGAGACTTTGGAGTTTTTATAAACCCCTATTTGCCTATAGACATTAGTAGCAAACCTTGGAAGTGAAAAAGGACTGGTGTCTCCTCCCGGGGCTGTGGAGCGACAGGTCAGGGCTGAGGCTACCTTTCAACCGAGCCTGGAAGGAGAAGACACCACCGAGGGGTTCGTGGTGCGTGTTTGATGCCCAGACCCCTCCTATCACAGGCCCAGTGCAGAAGTCACTACCCACAGCGCTCTGTGCCACGGAGCACCAAGTCATGCAGTCAGAGGAGAGGCAAAGTGTGAATATTTGTCAATGAATGCATGGGTGTTGAAATGCTTGCTGTGTTGAGAGACAGGGCCAGGGAAGGAAGAATTTAAAGTATGGTAGACGTTTGATGCTGGGGTGAGGAGTTCAGATGAAGAAGAATTGGAAATTAGAATAACATACATGGTCTGGGGGGTTTCCCCCAGGAACAATTCAGAGACATTTACGTGTGGCATTAGGTTTAATCCACACCACCCTCGAGTGAGGCAGGTGCTGAGGTGATCACTTCACAGATGGGAAAACTGAGGCCTGAAGGTTTCAGCCCTTGTTCTGGGTTACAAAGAGAATAAACAGAGGTGAGCTGATGCCTAGACCTCTTTTCTAGGGAAGTCTCCCATTCATTCCACACTGTGGGTTTGCTCTCCCACAATGTCTTTCATTGGAACCATGGCTCTGTGAGATTGTCTCCATTTTACAGATGAGAAACAGATTAGAGAAATGTCATATCAGAGCTGGGATTTCAGCTCCAGCTCCTGTGACCTTCCTGGCATGATTGTTCTCCAAGGAAGATGAAGGTGGCAGTGGGTGTCAACTCCAGGAGAATCCACAGCAAGTGCGGGCAGCTGGGTGGATCTGGAGGAAGTGGGGATCCAGGGCCCATTTCTCAGGAGAGAATCTCCTGGGTTTGGGACCTATTGATGAAAGAGAACAATGGGGCAGCCTCAGCTGAGGGAGTCACTGCCACGGAGAACTCAGGAACAGTGTTTATTGCAAATGTGAGGTGTCACGCCTGGCCACCAACGAGGGCCAGCCGTGGGTGACTACAGTTCAAAATATAGGTTTGGTCAGTGGGCCATGGAGAAGAGAAGGGAAGGAGAGAAAAGATTATAGAGCCCTGGGGAACTGTCGTGGTTTGGGACAGGAGGAGGAAAAACAACAGTAAGGGGAGTGAGCAGTTTGTGGCCAGAGGTGCAGGAACATCCAGAACCGTTGCATGTCTGGGGAACCAAGAGAGATCCATTACATGAAAGGAACAGGTATGGGGCCCCAGCCAGGGGATGGGTAAGGAGGGGCTGGGAGAAGATGTGGGGCTGGGGTAAGCCTGCTGAAGGCATCTCCACTTTGCCTTTTTCTGGGGCCCTGAGGGAACTTGCTCTTGGCCTGCAGCTATCCTGTGGGATGTCTCTGTCCCACCTCAGTGTGTGCCTGTGAGTGAGGTTCAGCCTTACTCTTCTCAGTCTCCTGCACCTGACTCACACCTCCTTTCAGGAAATGACAATGAGGACATAGAGATGTTTGTTATGATTTCATTTCAAGTAGAACCGTAACCCAAAGGGGCAGCACTCTCACAGAATGATCAACTTCAGCCAAGGGACAAAAGGATGCTTGCTCATAGTGGAAAGGGAGAGACAGAAACTAAAAATTAGGAGCAGGAAAGTGCAAAATGCCTGAGAGATTCTAGGTGAGCTGGCCATCGATTTAGGAAGAGATGGGCTGTAAGAGTAGAGACTCATCACTGAGGAAGGTGCCTGGGTAGGTAGTGCAGGAGAAAAGTATCCTGGACCTTAACCAATCAGCGCTTTGGAATCACAAAATTCAGAACTCCCTGAGTTGCCAGTACTGGATCCTTCCATAGGTTGAAGGGCTCATTCTAGTCACTGGAGCTTATGAAAAACTAAAGAGTATTTTTATCATGAATATTCCATTTTTGACATCTGTTAAGTGTTTGGAGTATCTTAGACACTGCGCAGAACATGAACTGAACACTCTTGGCTGGGGCTGCTGGTAAGTGTGCTCTTAGGTAAGGTAAGTGGACACAGACCCCCTGTTCAAGAGAGGAAACCATGGCTGTGTCATCAAATGGGCTGCCCTGGGAGACATGTCTGAGCAGTCAGGACACACCCAAGGCTGTGCCTTCAGGGTTCTATCCTCTTTTCACATCACTCTGTCCTATTATCGTGTCATGCTGTTCCCATTTTGCCAGTGAAGAGTATGAGCCTCAGAGAATTTATGTGCCATTTACCTGGTAAGTAACCATGTCGGAATCAGAATGAGGAAATGCAGGGAATTGTTTTATTTCATTCCTTCATACAACAAATATCTCTTGGCATGTGATTAATTAAAACAATGAACTAAGAGTAACTCCATGGGGAAACTACAGTCTCAAGAAAGGCACCTGGGCATCTCCTTGACTTCTGTTCTGGTAGTTTACATTCTTGATGTGATGTTTGTATATATTTAGGAGGCTAAAGAGGCCAAAACCAAAAATGCAATCTTTCCTATGTATTGTTTAAAAGTGAATAAAAAGTATTCCTTAATTTGCTTTATTAGAGAAGTATTTCTTTTAAAATTCCTAATCCTTTATGCATTAGGGCAAAGGGTGAGATTTGCACCTTGTTGCCACTAGATGGCAACATCTGAGCGTAGAGTCCGGGCTCGGCGCGATGGGCACCAACATTCCACAGGGCGCCTGACATGCGGCCTGGGATGGCGCCTCAGAAGGTTGGGCTAGCCAGCCAGCCAGCACCTGTTCCCCAATCCTAAAATAAACCATGGTGGGTCAAAACTCCTAATTGGTTCTATACACCTCTGAAGCCCAGCTCTCCTCACATTCCACCCTGCTTGAAAAACTAGCAATGGCTCCCTCCAAAGGCTAATGTCACCTATCATTCCCAGATATGGATTTGACTTTTTCTGTGCCCTGTATTGGGGGTGTGGTGTGCCCAGGCCCATCAGAGCTGGCCAGCCAGCCTGGTAGAGGGATAGTGCCTGTGGCCATAGAACCACTGAGCAGGACAGCTGGCCAGAACCCTGGACTACTGAAGATTGTGTTCACAGACACAGGCTCATCCACAGAACTTGTGAGCCATGTAGGACATTCGTCAGTGTGCTCTTGGCTGAGTGCAGACATCCAGGGGGTCAACCAAATGGATTGCTTCAAGCAGGTGGCAGTGTGCCTTCCCTGGCACGCTGAGCCACTGGTCTTCTCCCCGCCCCAATTCATTCCTTGCCTGCCCACTACCAGACACATCTAACCTACACCTCTTTGCCACTGTTTCCTCACAGTCGGGCACATTTGGCACAGCTGCTGGAGGAGCCTCACTGGACTTTCTGCCCTGAAGAAATCGCTCCTGAGCTGTGTGGCTGGGCTCAGGGCCTTAGACTCTGCAGCTGGGGTCTCTAGGTGGGATTCAGGCACGTGCCCGGAGGCACCCAGGCCCAGGTTAGCAGCGGTCTTTGAAGTGTTTGTTAGTCTATGAACCTTTCCAATACCCACTTGCTCAGTGGCTCACTGTTCCAGAGACTGCACCACATCCTGGCTATGTGATGTGAATGTCTGATTTATGCCTTCCAGGGCAAACAATCAAGTCAGAGGAAGAGGCAGAGAGATTCTAACATGAATATAAAGGTCGAAGTCCATGGGAGGTGGGGAGGCAGAGGGAGGATGATCACTCCATCTAGGACTTGGGGAAAGGTGCAATTTGGTAGATGGAAGGACCGACAGGCATCTACCAGGCTTGAGAGAAGGTCCACTCATCCTCTCTTTCTCCTTCTTCAGAATTTCCTCTGGCTTGTGGGGCCTACCTCCTTTTACTGAGGTTGGGTTGAGAAGGATGGGGCTGTGCTCCTCCTGAGTGTGAGCAGGTCCAGAAACCTGGTCCTTAGGCAAATGTCTAGCTCTTTCTTCCCTTACATGAGGCCTGAGCTGCTTCCCCTTGGGAGGAGGTGTGGCATTGCTCCCTCTCTTTGGCCTGGAGCAGGTAGCCTCATCTGGCTGTTCCCTGGGAATCTGGTACATTTGCTTTCCACAGTGCCCTTCCCAAACTGGCCTTGGTTCACATACGGGTAATCCAGGATCTAGCTATGGGTTGGGAAGGAGTCAGGCTGTGTAGCCATTGGCTGCTTTAGTTCTAAGTTTCAGGTTTTTCAGCTAGATGGAGTTCTCTCCACTGGCTCCAACGAGGGCTGGGAAGACAAAATCTAATAAAATAAAGCCTGTCTCTTTGCACAGCCTTCTGTCTATGAATATCAGCATGCTGTAAGTCTTATAGCCTACTTAGCAAACCATTCTTTCTTCTTTTATATAGTATGCCATTTCAAAGAAAATGTGTATTTGTTTGTAGTGTTTAATGCAAATTTTAAAATTTTTAGACAGCCAGAAAATTGATTAGATAGGCATGAACTTCAGTGCTTTATTGGATGGCTAATGGTTATGAAGCTGTTAAAGGATCTTCAAATGCTTTTGTTTTCTGTTCTGACTCTGTATCAATTCTTTTGAATAGCAATTAGGTGACAATTAAAGAATCCTAATGGGAAGAGATCTCTCAAATGTCCGGTTCTGTTTTGCTTTGTTTTGTTTTCCCTGCACTCTTGTCTCTAGTGTCTTAGTTTGTTTAGGCTGCTATAAAATGCCATAGACTGAGGGGCTTCTAAACAGTAGAAATATATTTCTTACAGATCTGGAGGCTGGAAAATTCACGATCAAAGCCCTGACAGATTTGGTGTCTGGTGGGAGCCCACTTCCTGATTCACAGAGGGTGCCTTCCCATGGTGTCTCCACCTGGTGGAAGAGATGAGCGAGTTCCTCCTGGGACTTCTTGGTAAGGGCGCTGATCCCATATGAGGCCTCTCCTGTCCCCCACCCTGCCCTAATCACCTCCCAAAGGCCCCACCTCTAATACCGTCACTTTGGGGGTTAGCATTTCAACATATGAATTTTGGGGATACGAACATTCAGACCACGGCACATACCAAATATAATGTGAGGTAGCATCAAAGTACTGTGCTCATCATTGCAAGTTTCCTGCTCAAAAGTGGGACATTTCTAATTACCAGAAGAGCTTGGACCATCTTCCGAATGGGCATCACTCCCTGGGTAGGTGGAAAGACGCAGAGGGTCTTGCCCACAGCTGATGGATGAGTTCTCCGAGGGATTCCGGTGGACTGTTTCAAGGCAGTGTTTTAAATCTTTTCTCAAGAAAGGAAATTGTGGGACCCTGGGGAAACCTCATTACACATTTCTTTTGCCCGATTTGAAATATGAAGTGATGAGTTTTTCTGTAATCTTTCTGTGGAGACACCTATATCCAAAAGGGCAAACAAGCAAGACTTCTAAGTAAAGAAAGTTCAAGCAGCAGGTTTCCATTGTTACTCCTTTTTTTCAATGAAAATACGCAGCCAGTCTGGCAGGAACAGGTGCTAGAACCTCTACAGGCCTTGTTAATATCTAATCCCTTCATTCCACCTTCTCCCCTGAGACGGAAAAATCCCTACGTGGTCATGCCCAGGATTTCAGGTTCTACTTTACATAGTTTTAATTTTAATAGACTTAGTAAAAATGACTGTAAGCTTGTGCTATGTACAAACACAATTTGTCTAAGAGGAGTTTCTGCAGGCAAGCAGAATTCACAGGGCACATGACAATCAGGAAGTCCTGAGGAGGCTCTTCACGGAGTGGAGGAATTTGGGATTAAGGCTGTGAAGTCCAGGTTCACTCTACCCTTACTATGTAAGTACTCTTGGAAAATGTACCGAGTATCAGTTTGTTATCTGCACAGAGCAGGTAATTCTAACAGAAATATCAATGTAAACAACCACAGCTTTTGTGCACTGACTACTTCTCAACACGCACTAACTTATTTATTGTAACACAAGAGGTAGATGAGTCAGTGGGGAGGAAATGGGGCTTGAACTCATTACTCTTGCCTCTATCTCAAAGAGTAATTTGATTATTTTCCATGTTCATGAAAGCAGCTATAGGGAGGTGTGAAAATCTATCTGTGAAGAGCAAACACTTCTCGAGAAGAATGGAATCCACATGAAGAAAAAGACACTCATGGTGTTCATGAAATTGAACAAAGACCATGTTATACACAGCAGGACTAGATTGTAAATCAAACAACCAGAGAATCTCTTGCAAAGAAACATACTGAAAAGTGAAATCACGTTGCGTGATGAACAACAAACCGTCACTTGTACTAAATGCCAGTGTTCAGGATATGGGGAAACTTCAGGACATGGGAAAAGTAAAGTCCTGTTAGCCAAAAAGGCAGTATAGGCCAAAGGAAAAAGGAAGACCTATAAAAATAAGTTCAGAAAACTAACTTTGAATAAGGGCCCAGAAGAAACTGGAATTCCACTGTAGGTATGCCAAAGGGAGGGATTGACATTTACAGTCTAAGGTATGTGAAAATGTTTAATCTTTCATGAATCTTGTAATTTTCTCAAACTCTACACTCTTCCCACAAGTTTCCAACATAGAAGACGGCAGTTGGTTATGTTTTTTAACTTCTGAATTTTACATGTAAAATATATTCTAACTCGGGAGTCTTTTTCTTAGTAGGACATATAAATATTTTCATTCTTTTTAGAGAGAGTATGTGTGGACATACCTACCCTACTGATGGATGCTAAAGTTTCTTATAGTTTGACTTCCATAATGTAACAACAAACTTCCTTGTGCATATCTCTAACAAGGAATGTATGTTTGTGTTGGACAAATGCCTGGAAGCTCAATTATTGACTTACTGATAATGTATATTTTGATAGGTTTTGCCAATTTGCTGTTCTAGTAATTTTTGATAATTTCTACTTTAATTAAAATATATAAATATACGTTCCCACCATGGATGAATATTATCAGTCACTTAAATTTTAGTGCTGTGGCTCATGCCCGTAATCCCATAATCCCAGCACTTTTAGAGGCCAAGGTGGGCAGATTGCGAGGTCAAGAGATTGAAATCATCCTGGCCAACATGGTGAAACCCCGTCTCTACTAAAAATACAAAAATTAGCTGGGCGTGATGGCATGTGCCTGCAGTCCCAGCTACTCGGGAGGCTGAGGCAGGAGAATTGCTTGAACCCGGGAAGCGGAGGTTACAGTGAGCTGAGATTGCACTACTGCACTCTAGCCTGGCTACAGAGCGAGACTCCACCTCAAAAAAAAAAAAAAAAATTTGTTTTGCATATCTGAGGGAAAAAATTTGGGTTTTATTTTAATCTACATATTTCTAATTATAAACAAGGCAGAGATTATGTTTTCTGCTTATTTACCATTTATATATTTTCTTCTATAAATTGTTTATATCTTTTTCCCACACATTGTACTGTATTTTTTCTTAGTGATTTATATTAACTCTTAACTATTTCATCTTAACTCTGAATATCTAGGATGAATTATGTTTTGTGGTCTTTGAAGCTTATAAAATTTGAGGGGTCATCTGCAGGAGAAATAATGCAAAATTAAATAAGAATGTGACCATTCCTTGCTAGGCCTTTGCCACAACCCTAGGATGAACCACACAAGTGGGTGGCCCAGAGCTTAAGTGTCATTAAATGTTTCACGGTGAATCAGGCTCTTCTAAAGCTTACTCCTTTGTCACGTTTGCAGCAAATATTTTCCCTTTAATTTTTATGTTTGTGTATCTGCCAATAATTTCCATGATAACTTGTCCTCTAGGAAGAGGGACTGTGCTCTTGTCCCTTTTGAGTTTTGCAAGTTACCTGGGGTGTGGCTATGCCTAGCTGGCTTCTGTGCCCACTTTGCTGGTTTAGCGTGGGAATGAATGTGGTTGGGCTTAAGTGGTAGGGAGAATGAAATGATAACATATCTGTCCTAAACACTTATTCCCAATCCCTACCCATTAAAACTGCCCCCACAACCCCACTGCCAGTGTCTGTTGAGTCTGAGTTTTGAGTGTGTCGAATACGCAGCATCACTACGTGGCCTGGCTGTTGGCCTGTGATTGCCCTGGACTTGTTTCTCCGTAGATCTGTTTGTTGTTGACTCCGGGAGTGCTGTAAATGTTCTGCTTGGCTAAAGGCTTTTAACTTTTATTTCCCAGTGCTAGTAGAGCTTTAAAAATATTTTCCTTTCATAATGAGCTTTTTAGGTGGGAAGGAAGTTGGCTGCCTTAGGTCCGTTCTGTGCTCCTATAAGAGAATACCTGAGACTGGGCAATTTATAAAGCATATACACTTGTTTTTCACAGTTCTGGAGGCTGGAAAGTCCAAGATTAGGCACTGGCAGGTTTGGTGTCTGGCGAGAGCTGCTCTCTGCTTCCAGGATGGCACCTTGAATACGACATCCTCTGGAGGGGAGGAACACTCTTTGCTGTATGGCAGAAGAGCTGAAGAAAGCTAACCACTCCTGCCAGCCCTGTTATGATGCCACAGGCCCATGCCTGAGTGGAGCCCTCACCACCTACACACCTCCAGTCAGGCCCCACCTCCCAACCACTGTTGCACTGGGGAGTAAGTTTCAACCTGAGTTTTGGAGGGGACAAAACATTCAGTCCACAGTAGTGACCGCACACGTTCAGATTGTCAAGCTCAGTCTTCTCTGGAGCTGACATTCTGTGAGAGAGGATAAACATGTTGCACTTTCTGAGAGGAATACCCAGTCTGCAATACGTGTGCTAAACCAGCAACTTCAAAACTCCTGTTTACCATAAAACACAGTGTATATTTTTACAGGAAATGCATTTTATACCACAACCCAGTGCTTCTTTTGCCACACATACAATAGAAGTAAAATCATCATGGAAGAGGAATTACCTTTGCTCCATACAATGCACTCGGATGTTTTCCCATCACTTCCCCACCACATCCTATCCCAACTTGACCTCTCCTCTTCTGTTTATTTTATTTCAAAATATGAGTTACAACCCATTATACTGAATTTACAACTCACGAATGAGTCAGGCTCTGCAAGAGGAAAAAAAGACATAACTCTCTGAGAATATAACCCCCCACTGAAGAGAGAAAAGTGGTTTGTCTAAGGCCCCACGCCTTAGCTTAGAGATCCCTCGAAGCCCTCGCTCCCTGTCTCCTATCTGCTTTCTGTCCCTGCAGCCTCCTTGCTTTCTCAAATGTGCATCTCCTTTGCCACCCGGCCCCACTGCCCAAGCTCTGTAGATCAAATGAGGGCCTCTTCTTTTGTAGGCCAATAACAAGTTTCAAAAAGAGCCTGGATGTTTTTTCTCCCTAACGTTGATTTTTTAGAATGAGGAGGTTGAATTTCATTTAGGGGCGGCAGGACCCAGGAAAACCACCTCTGAGCCCAAGGCTAATTGATATTAGTTGATGTGGATCTGTAGAAAATAACACTCATGATGATAACAGGAAATAGTAACCAAAGCTCATGACGTGTCTGGTAGGGCATCTTCATGACAATTATTTCAGTAATAAACCCACTTAGACTAGAAA